CCTCCATATGTAATTTATATATATATATATATATATGTGTGTGTGTGTGTGTGTGTGTGTGTGTGTGTGTGTGTGTGTATTCTCAATGAATTTATAAAAGAGTGAATATTGTCTATCTTAATAAATTAACAAACAATGACCAAGGGAGATTTCAAGAACAATGAATGATTCTCAGCAAGCCGGCCCTATTGTAAGGCCAGCAAAACATGGGCTTTAGGACCATAGTTTATAATTTTGACAATTAGCCCAAAATAAATTTTTAATTTTATAAAAATTGAAACCCAACAAAAAAGTTACAATTAAATTTAAATTAGAGCGTTTGAGTTTATTTATTTAGCCTATGTACCAAAACAATTATTAAAAAAAATATATCGGTAAAAGTAATGTACAGTTGTCAACTCAAGAGATCTACATAATAAAGTAGAACGAATTTAAAATTTGGAGACAAAGAGTGATCTAAATTATTTTGTGACCAAAAAAAGCATCATCTAACGGATGATATTATCTCAAACTGTCTCGAACTATTAACGTCTCAAATCGTTTTGCTCTAACGTACCATATTAACTCTTTTGAAATATTTTTGTTAATCAAAATTTATAATTTTCAAAATTGATATTCCAAAATTTAATTTCCCCAAATCCCTTCCTTAAATCAAACAAATCTCTCTCTCTCTCTTTCTTTCTCTCTCTCATTCCTCTGTATCTCTTTCTTTCACGCTCAATTCATGCAAAAAAGTATCAATTTTTCACAATATTTTTCTCTGTATCTCATGAAAATATTAAATAGTATCTGATTCAAACAAATACTACATCTTTTTGTAAATAGATAGTATATATCACAGAGAGAGATAGTATAGTACGAAAATATTTTTTTGTATCTCTCTGAAGGAAAATTATGTAATAAATATTAAATAGATAGTATACATCACGAAAATATTTTTCTGTATCTCTCTCTTTCATTCAAGCAATACTACAAACATGAATCATACAAATTCAATAGTCAATTTTATTTTTTCCATAATCAATAAAAAAAAAAAGCATAACTTGAAAAAAATCTAATTTAACAAAGAAAATATACTTAGCATGTAAAATATACAAAATTAAATTCAAGTTATTTGGCAACTTAGATATCAAGAGATATATTAAAAAAAATATGCTTAACATTGAAAATATACAAGATTCAATTTATATACAAACACGAATCATACAAATTCAATATTCAGTGAACAACACAAAATAACAATATTTACTAAATGATCCAAATCTAAATAACCAAAAAAATGATATAAAATTACAAACGAGAGAAACGATATAAAATTACAAGCAATATTATGAACACGAATTATACAAATTCAATTTTTAGTGAACAACATGAAGTAACAATCTTTACTAAATAATCAAATACTAATTACGTTTAGTTTAAAAAAATATAGTAAGAATATAAATAACCGATAAAAATGATATAAAATTAAAAACACTACTATAAACTTGAATCATAGAAATTCAATAGTCAAGTCGTATCTTTTGGCAGTCAGTTGAATTTCTGATAGTTATATTTGGTCATTTGACAACATCTGTAGACTTAGTTTATTTGTGGGAGTATTGTTTTAATTTTCATTCTATTAGTAATGAATTCTGTTATTATTTAGATAAAGCTGATTATGAATGTTAAAATCGTGAATTTTGAATCAAAAACAGAATATTGAATATTGTCAACTGATGTATTTTTTTAGATGTTTAGATTATTATATTTCAGTAGTTATAACATAATTTTTGTGGCTTAACAATTTAATGTGGAAATATATACTATGCATGTAGGTTGATGTTATAAAGAATATTAGCGGACTCATTATGTTCACCGTTTACTACAATGTTGTATTTATTTTACATTTATATATGGGCAAATATTTATAACTAATTTTACGAGTAACACTGTGCCTTTAGGCACGGGTAATTGCTAGTATTTTTATATCACAATTATCAACATATTCTTCTAACCACTCACTTCTTATCCTTATCTTTCTCTCTCCTCTTTCCTCTCTCTCTCTCCCCTTACTAAAATAATCTAGAAAGGCGAAGAGGTATAACAGACTCTCTCTCTCTCTCTAGCCACCAAAGGCTGGGGGACCTCTCTCTCCTCTCTCCAAGGTAAATTTTGTCTTTGTGACTTCACTTTGTTTGACATTATTCTTTGTTGGCTGAGGCACCGGGTTGTGCCTATTGAGGTTGTTTCTGTATTTCAAGGTTGGGTTGTTTTGGCTTCGAGCATAATTTGTTGTTAGGGTGATAATCAAATTTTGCGAAAAAATTGAAAATAACAAAGTAGGTGTTATTATTCTATGCTTTGAATTTTTTTATTTAAAGTTCTTATTATATTTTTTTTTAAATATAGATTGTGTGTGATTATTTTATTATTTGTGATTGTTTAGTTAATATTTGATAGTATGACAAGTAGAAAACAACCGGGTGGATATGAAAAGCTCAAAAAAAAAAAAGATGAATTAACGGAATCTCAAAAAAGATCTCTTAATAAATTTTTTACTAGTAACAACAAAAATGTAACAAAAAATATAGGTGAAAATTTAGTAAATTAACTAATAATTACTCCCAATTTAATTAGAAGATGATAATATAATACAACAAAAAGATGATAATGAAAATATATGCAATTCTAGTCAAACACGTAATATGACAATAGATGATGAAGAACAAACAAAAAAATTTGACCATGAAAATCTTACTGAAACAAGTAATTTTAATGCTATGAATATTTATGATCCAAGTCAATGGAAAATTATTGATACAAAACTAAAAGACTTATTAGTAGAAAAAGGTCTTACTCGAAATAATGATTCAGATTTTCCCAAAAGACGAGCTTTTTAGACATCTTTTTACTATACACTGTATTCGTAAATTAGCAAGTGGGGAGACACATGATAGAAGATGACTAGTATATTCAAAAGATTTGGATAGTGTATTTTATTTTTGTTGTAAGTTGTTTGATAAGAATCATTGTACAAGTAAGCTAACTAATGAAGGTACTAATGATTGGAGAAATATTAGTGTTAAACTTAATAGTCATAAAACAACTAATGAACATATTACTGAAATGAATACTTGGATTGATTTAGAAACAAGATTGTTAAAAGTGAAACAATTGATAAAACCATCTCAGAACAAATTAACAAAGAGAAAAAATATTGGAAAAACGTATTAGTGATGTGGTTGTAAAGAATCTTGGTAAAAATAATTTGGCATTTCGGGAAAAAAAATGAAAAGATATATCAAAAAAATAATAAAAATTTTTTAAGTATGATTGAAATGATAGCAGAATTTGATTCAGTTATGTAAGAACACATTCGACGCATTCAACATGATTAAATTCATAATCGTTATCTTAGACATAAGATATAAAATAAATTGATATGTCTATTAGGAACTGAAATTAGAAATAATATTATTAAGAAAATTAAAGAAGTAAAATATTATGGAATTATACTTAATTGTACTCCGGATGTAAGTCATCAAGATCAAATGTCTCTCATATTACGTTGTGTAGATATCTTAACAAGTTCATAAAAATAGAAGAATACTTTTTAGAGTTTCTCAAAGTAGATAATACAAGTGGAAAAGATCTTTTAGACAAAATCATATATACAATAAGAAACTTCAAACTTGATATTGATGATATACGAGGACAAGAGTATGATAATAGATTTAATAAGAAAGGAAAAACATCAAGGGGTACAAAAAAGACTTCTAAATATAAATTCTAGAGAATTTTATACATCATGTGGTTGTCATAATCTAAATCTAGTACTTTGCGATATGGTTAACTTTTGTCTCAAGGTTATGCCATTTTTCGGAGTAATACAACACATATTCATTATTTGTTTCTTCTACGAAACAATGAAAAATTTTACAAGATAATGTACAGGGTTTAACTCTTAAATCAGTATCACAAACACATTGGAAAAGTCGAATTTAAAGTGTTAAAGTAATTACAATTAGTAGAAACTAGTGAAGATTTTAAAACAACAAGTGAAACCTACAAAAGAAGCATAAGAGGAGACTAAAAAGCTCAAACTAAAATTTTTATTGAACTTGATTACAATCACACTCAACTTAAAGTCTTCACTCAATCTCTTCATTTAAGACAACTCCTTTTAACTCAAAAATCTAGACTATATATTATGACACATCCCTTTCTCCATAATCTGTAACAATTTACGATATTGAAATAGCATTCGTACTTATTCCAATAGCATACCACTAAGATATACAACCTATGAAGTACGGATACTTCGTCGAGGTTGACATACCTGTATCAAATACTGTATCAGATACGATACTCATCGGATACGTATTGGATACACTTTCTACGTATCCGAAAATAATTAAATATTAGGATATTTCACGAATACTTTTGTAGTAGACCAATATATATAATTTTTTAGTTGAACTTTTAATATCTCTTTTCGAATTCACATATCATACAATACATTAACAAAAAATTTATATTACTTCAAAGACACATGAGTGTTTTTTAAATATTATCTACAATTGCATGTCAAAAGACCATATAGTAAAGTTATTACATTATGATCTTGACAAAAATTATTTCTCAATTCTAGGTAAATATTAGTTTTGATTCGTTTAATTAGTCACATCACTTTGTGAATATACCATAATGATAGAATATATATTTTCTTGAAACTAAAAAAAATTACTAATTATTCTTATTATATGTTAAAGAACTACTAAAATATATAAGTGTTAAGTTGGTTAAAAATAATAAAAATATTTTATTATAGTCGTATCATGATCGTATCCGTATCCTACTTCTTAAAACTTTGTCGTATCGCCGTATCTGTTTCGTATCGTACCCGTATTCAGTATCCGTACCCGTGCCTCATAGTACACAACCCAAACCCTACTACACATTAAATTAAAAAAAAAAACTTAATAGTAGAATATAAATGCTAAAAATATGTTTGTTTTCCAACTAAGCCATAGCTCATCATACTCTCTTTACGAGGAGATTCATTCCTTGTTCAGGCTCTAACACTAGCGTGAACACCGGGGAGTGTTGGTATGTGGGTGAGATAGAGAACGAGAAGTTGGATATAAGAAGAGTTAGCAGAATTTTGAGTTCTGCTAATGCAAATGGCATCCCCAAACACAAGCGAGGACCAAAACCAAACGGCATGAACACCTGTGGAAGCTTGCATGCTGCAGTGACTCCATTGGCAAACCTCTCAGGGTTGAACTTGTTAGCATCAGGTCCCCATATTTCAGGGTCTTGATGCAACATTGGCAAAAAAGTCCAAATGGTAACTCCTTTTGGAATAGTTAGGCCACCAAATTTCATTTCTTGCAATGCCTCCCTTGTGATAATTGGCGCGGTAGGGTATAGTCTCATCGACTCATTAATCACCATTGTCAGCTGATCATATCAATTTTAAGAAAGGTTACAAAGTAAAATGATGTTATGTATATCCGAGAAGATTATGTTAATTGAGAACCATACCGTTTTCATCTTTGGAAGAATAGCAGCATTGGGCAATTGCTTGCCACAAACTTCAGATATTTCAGCACGGACACGAGTCTGCCATTCTGGATTCAAAGCCAACAACATCAGGGTCCACACTGCAGAGGTAGAAGAAGTCTCATACCCAGCCAAGTATATGTTCTTGCAGTTGTCAACAATGAAATTGTCAATTTCATTGTTATCAAGGTCACCATTTTTTGCTCCTTCAAGTATCATTTGTAACAAGTCTGCCTCTGCGGTATGATCTGTTAATCTATCATTTACTATCTTGAGAAGCATTTCTCGAATCTCTTTTCCCAAACTCTGTATTTTTCGATTACGCTTAGTTGGAAGACATCTGCAGATCAGTTCAAATTTAGTCCCATGCCTATATTGATTATGGATTGTGATTTGAGTCTACAAAAAAATATTATGTCCAAAGAGTAGGAACAGTTCAGACCTCATTACGGGGATGGCAGAGAGCAAGCTTTTGTCAGACACGAGTGCTTGAAGAGCTCTAAGTTTTGAGAATATCTCTTCCCCTTTGGAATAATTGCTGCCAAAACAAGCCCTTGAAATAATTTCCCCTGAAAGTCTTCTTATATCCTCATAAATTTCTATGTCTGCAACTCCACCCTCACTTTGAATCCTATGAATCCATGAATTTACTAGGATAGTTGAGGATTCCACCATTGTACTGGTCATTCCCTACAAAAATGTTTATCATTGGCATTAAAACTTTTGTTCTACTGAAAAATCATCTTAATGCATAACAGCAAAAAACTATAAATATTTTGGTTGCAGTCATGGAGAATTACAAGATTTGATATATCATATAACCTCCTCAAGGGAAACTAGCTATGCAACACTGATATTTTGTTTTGGTCAATTGTTTGTATTGAATACTATATCTGAAACGATACTCATTAGATACTAGTGAATATATATTAAATAGGCACCATACATATATATGGCCGGCCGTAAGCTTAGGCCACTTAGGTGGTTGCCTACAACTCCCAATTTTTAAAGATTTTTAGGGGCCCCAAAATCAAAGATCAACCACTATAGTGTAACTCAAGTCCATTATGTTGCCCATTAAGCAAGATTAAACACTACTGTCAGAAGAGATTGTTGTGGCCATAACAAACAATGCCCACTTGTAATGGTTGTCTGAACATAGTTTTCTGTTCAAGTGGCCTTAGTTTATCTTACCGATACGCAATGAAATCCAATTATCCTAATGTTAAAGTGCCGACTCTTGTTTCTCTCTCTCTCTCTCTCCCTTCCCCTCTCTCTCTTCCCCTCTCTCTCCTCCTATACATACTCAAGTCCAACCAAAAATCTCTTTGTGTGGGTCCTAAGATCTGTATTTGCTCCCCAGTTCTTAATCTCTTACAAAAAAATTAATACGACTTTTTAACTTTGAGGTTGTTGTCAGTCAAGTACGTTGAATTTATTGGTTTTTTCTATTGAAATTTTTTTGTTAACTTACAACTTCATTTTATTTTTTAGGGTAAAAAAAATCAGATTTTGTTGTGGAAATAAAATGAGTTGTTTGCTTTCACATTGCTAGATTGTGTTTTTTAAAAATTTAAAAATTTATTCAGTGTAATTTTCGCAAAGGTATTTATTATGATATTATATTCTTTTATTTGCAAATACATATTAACACAAATATATCTACTCGAAAACAAGAATCTAAAAATGAAAAACTTAAAAAAAAAAAAACAGGACACTTCAATAGAAAACACTTATTTGTATGAAAAAAAATAAATTCTTTTTCAAATGTATGGATTTCTTATACAATACTAATAACAATTTTTTTGGGAAAGATGTTTGTGGAATTTTGAATATAAAAATTTAACTATCCTTTTTATCTTAAAATACTAAAAAATAATTTTTAAATACAAATATTTCGGTATTTTGAATTTTTTTTTATATAATAGGACCTCTCTCTACCCTAATTTTGCCACTGTTGCTTCTTCATTTTGACAGATTTGTGCATTTATTATGGATTCTGCCCAGAATTTGTGCAAAATTCCTCCTAAGCCGCCTGATGATTCTCGGGTTCCCATTTCAACCCCAACAAATTCTTTGAATTTCCCTCCCAAACCGCCAAACATAGCCAAAAACTTCGCTTCTCTGTTCAAGAAACCCACAAACAGGGAAATCTTTCTCCCTTCCCCGTCTGCTTCAGCTATTATTCCACCCTCCTCTGTGAATCCGGTGAGCTGTTTTCAAACCTTCCATATGCCTCTTCATCCTCCTTTGTACCATAACTAGTCATGCTCGAATATTACCTCTCCATCGATTTTTCCTTCGACCGTGAGCACCTCTGCAAATATTCAAATACCCTCGCCTGGAATGGGATCCCAAATCCCTAATGTTCCCTCTAGCATTCCGTTCCCTCATGTTTCTCTGATAAATCGTGATTTACCAGCATTACAAACCCAGTTGCCTGGGCAGGGAAGCTAGTTTCCGCTGGTCGCTTCGACTACCCAACACAGCCCACAAGCTTAGATACCACCAGATACGGTCACTTCGGTTCCTTTTATCTCTGCAACTCAGTCTAAGCCTGCCAAAAGGGTTGTTTTCAATAATGGGGAGCCAGAGATGTACTGGTCTCCAGATGAAACTCAAGAGCTCTCGAAGGGTTTCAACCTCACGTTGATAGGCAAATGTGCCTATGGTAAGCCATCTCTTGGTGTTGTGAAGGAGTTTATAAATTCTAGGTGGCTGTTGAAAGGGGATTTTACGGTAGGCGCCTTAGACCCAAGGCATATTCTCATTAGATTTTCCAGCTACGAAGACTATCACGCTTAAGGATTCTACATACATTGAAGGATTTCTATTCCGTTTCTTTAAATGGTTTCCAGAGTTTTTCCCTGGAATTGAACCTCCTTTAGTCCCAGTTTGGGTGTCTCTACCTGGTCTACCTATCCATCTTTTTAATAGAGAAAGCCTGAGAGATATATTAAGCCCCATTGGTAAGATTTTAGTGATTGATAATGCCACCTTAAATCTTTCTAGGCCTGGAGTGGCAAGGGCATGTGTGGAAATGAATTTACTGGCTAGTAATCCTAAGAGGTTCTGGCTTGATATGGGGGGCATGAGCGCTCGATGGCAAAGGATTGTATATGAGAAGGATTTCAAATATTGCCCTGCTTGTCTGAAACAGGGTCATGATGAATCCTTGTGCCGCAAAAAGAAGAAGGAAGGGGTGGAGGTCACTGTTGAGCAGAAAACTGATAAAATGAATGGCTTGAGCCATGATGATGGGTGGAAAAACAGGAAAGGGAAAGCTATTGCTGGGGATGTGCAGAAAGGAATTCCTAAGAGAGAATATAGACCTAGAATTGTTTTCCAAGGTCCAAGTGTGGGGAATAACTTTGAGGCCTTGAATGAGTTAAATGAGGATGTTGATGGGAGTAATGCACAGGAGAAGGGGCAACAATCTAAACAGAATCCAGAAAAAGGAAATAACATTGCAGCATTGAATGAGGAGAATGAATTGGTGGATGGGCTTAATGGAATAGACCAAAATCTGTCTACCCAAGTAAACCTTGGTGACTGTGTTCAACAACAAATTGGAGAGGATATGGCTAAGAGTCAACAAACAGGAGATGCCCCAACTTCTATGGAGAGGGAAACTCAGCATAGGGTGGGATTGCAGAATGATGGTATGGGGGTGAGCAAGGTGTTGGAAAAAATAGGGTCCAGCCCTTAGGTACAGAACACATTGGATACTCCAAATGTTGTTGGGGTCAGTCTAGAGACACTGCCCTCTCCCTCCCCTGATCCTTTCATTAACAAGGATGATTATAATCTAGGAGTGGATCTGGCTGTCTGGGAGGATGCTAATGTTGTTGTGTTAATGCCCAATGAACCTATTGCAGGAATCCTAAGAGAGGGGTGTGGGACACCTAAAGAGAATCTGGGGGAATGTTTTGCTCTGTATGCCCCTTCTTTGAATTCCTCCTTCTTCGTTCAGCATGATTATGACATAAGGAAAGGAAGAGGGGATACATTGGATGATCAAATGGGTCTGGTTCATGAGAGATTGCCCCTAGACAAGGGGTACTTTTCTGATCAAGCCAGCTCCAGAAGACAGAGAATTATAATAGAAGAGGCTGAGGATCAAGATAGCTCCTTTAATGTACATGATGTTGGTAATGGAGTATGCTCCAGTGGAGGACACCACCCTATAAACTCATGATTAATCTGATTTTCATGGAACATGAGGGGAGCAGAGAAAGCTGCTAAAAGGAGGAGATTAAAGAAACTTATCAGATTGCATGATGTATGTTTCGTGGCTTTACAGGAACCTAAGCTGCTTGTCTCTAAATTAAATCCTTTTGCTAAGAGTATAAGAATGACTCAATTCTCTTTCAATCCTTTAGCTGAGAGGAATATTTGGCTTTTGTGGGATCATAGAGTGAACATAAGAATTATTACTGCTCATGAGCAGGCTTTGACAGTGGAACTGACCTTCTTGAATGATGTGGTCTTCTGGGTATCTGTGGTGTATGCAAGTTGTAATCAAATTGTCAGAAAGGAATTGTGGGGACACCTTTTGGGGGTGAATATCCCTCCAAGCACCCCCTGGATGGTAGTGGGGGATTTCAATTCCATTTTATCTTCTGATGAGAGAAAAGGTGGTGCTAGTCCATCTCTTTCTGCCATGGAGGATTTTGGGAACTTCAAGGACCAAAGGGGGCTAATGGATGCTGGGTTTAATGGCAGCAAGTACACATGGTGTGACAATAGACTGGGGCATAGAAGGATGTTGCAAAGGTTAGACAGAGCTTTTATTAATGTGGAATGGAATTTGAGGTTTGAAAGCTTGGAGGTGGAGCACTGGGCCAGGGGGTCTTCTGATCACAATCCTTTGTTTCTGAGCATTAAGGATGATCCAGTGCAAAGAAGAGTTTCTTATTTCAGATTTCAGGATATGTGGTGTGATCATGAGGGTTTCATAACTCTTATTGCTGAAAATTGGAATGGTTTTTATTCTGAGAACCCTATGGCCAATCTGTTTATCAAGCTGAAGTATTTAAAAACCCATATTAAATTGTGGAATAAGGAGGTTTTTGGTAACATTTTTGAAAACATTAAAGCCCAAGAACAGAGAATCAAGGTAGCTGAGATGGAGCTGGATCAACAGTATAGTAAAGCTACATTTCTGGATCTTGAGAATCAGAAAGAGGAGTTAGATAACTAGCTCAGGAGGGAGGAGATCTATTGGAAGCAAAAATCAAATATTAAGTGGACTTTGGAAGGGGAGAGGAATACCAAGTTTTATCATGCCATAGCTAAAAGCAAGAAGATCAGAAACAAGGTCTCTAGAATTCAAAACAAGGAGGGCATTTGGGTACAGGGGGAGCAGAATATAGCTGAGGTTGCTGAGGATTTTTTTGCTCAACTCTATAAATCTGAAAGTCATGAGCTAAAGGATCACATTCTCTCTGTGATTCCTAATATAGTGAGTCAGGAGGAAAATCAAAAGCTTATTACAGAAGCATCTATAGAGGAAGTGAAAGAGGTTGTCTTTTCCATGGCAATTGAGAGTGCTCCTGGTCCGGATGGCCTTTCAGGTAAATTTTTTCAGTTTGCCTGGGAGATTATTAAAGGGGATGTATGCTCAGCTGTTAATTTTTTGTTAAAAGGAGGAGAGATGCCAAAATCTGTTAATTCAACTTTACTGGTGCTTATTCCCAAAAAGGATGCTCCCGTTTCCTTCTCTGATTTTAGACCCATCAGTTTGTGTAACTTCTTATACAAGATCTTCACCAAGCTGATTTCTACTAGGCTTTCTTCCCTCCTGCCTTCTCTGATTTCTGAGGAACAACATGGTTTTGTACAAGGCAGAGGTATTGGGGATTGTGTTTCTCTGGGGCAGTTATTGGTTGGTGAGCTGGATAGGAAGGTGGAGGGAGGTAATCTGGTGATGAAACTGGATATGATGAAAGCCTACGACAGGCTTGAATGGGACTTTTTGCTACAAGTTCTACATCGCTATGGTTTCTCCAACATGTTTAATCAAATTATTCACAACTGCTTGAGCACTCAACATTTCTCGATTTGCTTAAATGGCCAAAGATATGGTTACTTCCCTAACTCCAGGGGGCTAAGACAAGGGGATCCTCTTTCTCCCTCTTTATTCATATTGGCTGAGGAGGTTCTGAGTAGAGTACTGAGAAGATTATACCAGCAAAACTTAGTTTCTCATTTTCACATTGGCAGAGGTACTACAGTGGTAAGTCACTTGCTGTTTGCGGATGATACTCTGCTTTTTTTGAGAGGTACTAAAAGATTTGTGATGAATGTGCTGAAGTTTATTGGGGAGTATGAATCTAGTTCTGGTCAGAAGGTGAGCAAATCTAAGAGTGCAATGTATTGTTCGAAAGAATCTCTGTAGTGAGGAGGAAGAGATTGGCAGATTTGGTAGGAATTCCTATTAAAAAATGTCCTTTTGTTTACCTTGGCTGCCCTATTTTCAGAGGTAGAGTGAAGCTTTGTTACTTTGAAGATATCATAAAAACTTTCAGAAGTAGAATTGAGGGATGGTATGCCAAAATGCTTTCTGGCATGGGCAGGATTGTTATGATCCAGTCTGTCCTGAGTGCTATTCCAATTCATATGCTGGCCTGCTTAAACATTCCAAAAGGGATTTTGAGGAAACTGAATTCCCTTATTGTTGGCTTTATTTGGTCCAGTAAATTGGATAATCGACGAAGACATTGGGTCTCCTTGGAGAATATTTCTAAGCCTAAATGTGAAGGTGGTCTGGGTATCAGATGTTTTGGTGAAATTCAAGCTGCTTTCAGAATCAAGCAGGTATGGGGAATTCTTAATGGGCACTCCTTATGGGCTAAAGGTTTCAAAGAAAAATTCATTCAAGGAAAACACCTTCTGAGATGTTGTCATAATGGAGTTGGAATGAGCCTCAAGCTATTAAGACCTTGGTTTGTCTTTGTGGTGAATAACTCTAGGGTCTTGCTGGGAAATGGGCAATATACTGATTTCTGGTGTGACTCTTGGATGGAGAATGGCCCGTTGCTGCACATAATTGAAAGTCTCCCCTCCTATTTTCCTAAGGTCAATGAATTATGGTATGATGGAGAATGGCATTTTGATGGGATTGAGGAAAGACTGACTACTCAATTGCAAGAGGATATTTGTAACTCTGGTGGCATTGTTCCAGGGAAGGAGGACAGAAGAGTGTGGAGGCATACAAACTCAGGCTGTTTTTCTATCAAATCTGCATGGGAGCAAACTAGAAGGACCAGGGCACATTGTGTTATTGCACAATGTATTTGGAATCAGAAAATGCCTCCTAGTGCCCAGCTGTGTACATGGAAGATTTATAAGAAAGCAGTTACAACTGATGATAGAATCAAAAGTGTGGGGGTTAGTCTTGTCAGTATATGCTGCTTTTGTGGTATGGAGGAAGAAACGGTTCCTCATATTTTTATAACCTGCCCTTTTGCTCATTCTATTTGGAACAAATTTGCTGCCATTATGGGCTTTCACATTGTGCTTGGGGAGCCTCCTATTTACAGATTCCTGAGAATCTGTAGATGCTTCAGAAGCCCTTCCCTTAGCCATGCTCTTGTGAGAGGTGTTTCTATGCTTATTTTCTGGGCTTTATGGAAAGAAAGGTGCAAAAGGAGATTTGAAGGGTTGTGTTCAAACAGTCATGGAAATTTTCTCCAGGTGCTTAATGCATTGAAATGGCAAGCTTACTTGATCAAACCCAAGCAGGATGAGGGCATAGTGGGAAAAGCTATACTGCTGGACCTTAGGATTGCTCAATTTACTGTTATCACTAAGGTGAAATGGATTAAATGGGAACCCCCTGATGGGAACAAGGTGAAGTTAAATGTCGATGGGGCCTCCAAAAGCAATGGAATATCTGGTGGAGGAATGGTTTTAAGGAACTCTAAGGGGTATGTTCTGCTTGCTGCTGCTGTCAACTATGGTATGGGATCAAACATGCAAGCAGAATGCTTGACGCTGCTGGATGGTTTGAAAATGTTCATGAACTATGGTGTGAATACCTCACATATTATATTGGAGTCTGACTCCCAAGTGTTGGTTAAGATGGTTCTAGGTATGGTTGAGATTCCATGGAAATTATCTACCTACATGGAACAGATCATGGATTTGTTGGGGTTGTTGCAGTTCCAGATCAGGCATGTGTATCGTGAAGCTAATAGAGTTGCTGACTTCCTGGCTTCCTATGCAGTTCAGTCTGGTAGCTGCTCTAATTTTTCTGATGGTAGTATGCTTCCTAGCTCAGGTAAACTAATTTTACAACAGGACCAACAAATGATGGCCTCTGCCAGACTAAAGAATATTGTTATGAGAGTGCACAGACAAGGGATTGGTTAAGAGGGTCTGCTCTAGCTGCCTAGTATTCTAGGCAGTGCTTTGGGAGTTGCTTTCTTCTTCTGCTCTCATTCTCATCATCTTTCTGATTCTGTTTACATTGTCATTATGTGTGATCATGGGTTTGGTGCACATTCTGTGCATTATTGGTTCCTGGTGTGGGCCTCTGGGTTCTGTGTTGTTCATTTGGGGCTGGGTCTTCTGCTCCTGATCTATGGTGGCCTTTTCTGGATCTCCTTTTCTGGGAGGCTCTCTGCACCCATCGGATGCCTCTCAAGGCACAACTGCTACATCAACTGGAACATCTCCAGAGGTTTTCTTCGAAGTGCTCTATGGAAGTTCTGGTCCCCCCAATTGCTTTTCTCTCCTGTTCTGTAGCTGCATCAGCTGATCTCCCCCAGTTGTTCTCCTGATTTATTGCTATTTGCTGGTTCCCATCTTCCCCACACTGCACTGTCTCGCCTGGTTCCAGCTGAGCCCTCAGCTGGTATTGTCATCCAGCTGATCTCTCATCTGGTTTCACTCGTTTTACTCCATCTGGAAGTATGGTGGTGGCTCTTGTTCTTCATTGTATTTTCCTTTTGTTTGAAGGCTGTAAACTTTTTCAGGATGCCCCCCTTTTTTTGTACCCCCTTTTGTTTCCCCTCTTTGTTTCTTGTAATTTTCTCTTCATATATGGCACTTACATTTAAAAAAAAAAAAAAGTTTTTGCCTTAGGCCCCCACTAGGATTGAACCGTTACTGTACATATCTGATAACTAATAAAATATTTCTTTGAATCTAAATACATCTCAAAAATGAGTATCTAAGGGGAATGCTCTCTAGATATAGATGTGGATACACATGGCAATATACATATTAAAGGACATTATTATCTACGTCCATATGTCTATCGGAACAAAAACTTCTGAGCAAACCAAAAATAAACGACATTCATTTTGTATTATACCATTGCGAGGCGATCTGTGCTTATTTGAAAGGAAGCTTTTTTTGTTTTTATCAAATTGTGATTAAATAATAATTAGTAAAATATGAAATATATCTTATGATACACGTATATTGACCCCATCTGTATCATAAATTTTTAACGGTTTATTGTACCTTTATATATGTATCATTTTATTCTTGTGTCCACTATTAATATCCGTGCTTTCTTGGCTGCTAGGAACCATAGATTAATATTTTTGGCTAAAGCTTTCTTTTGGCTGGGACCATTAATGAATTAATCAAAAGGTGAGTGGGAGAGCGAATGGGTACAAACAAGCAAGATGACAGAAACTCCAGGTAAATGGGATTGCGGATAGTGGTAAAAGCTATGAGTTTCATGTAGAAATTGTACCTTGATCTTGTCCATGTACAGTTCTGGAGCAATGATTTTTCTTTGATAGGCCCAAATTGCACCACTAGAATTGACAATCCCTTGGCCTAGAAGAGGTTCTAGAATCTTCTGTTGAAAGGATGGCCTTCCGAAGTCCGGGGATGTGCATGTGCTCATTTCCTTCAATGCCTCAGGATCATTAATATACAAATTTTGTAGGTTGCCCATGGAAAACATGAAAACTGAACCTGTGAACATGGTAAAAATGGACACTCAGAAGCCAATCTTTCGATTTGTCAATATCAAAATACCCATATAGTTCACCACTCTATCAAGGCAATTGCCTTCCATTAGCGGAGCCAAATTTTTTTTTTTTTTAAAATGGGCATACTCTAACTATACAATCTAATATTTTTATCTAATAAATAAAAATAATGTGTGATATTTGTATTTTTAACATCATATTTGTTAGAAAAAAATTCATTAAATACAAAAGGGTTAAAAAACCATTATACATAGCCTTTGCAAACAAAAAATCAACAAAAAAGGGGCTTCACTATAACTCTTCACATAAAATAAGGCTAATTATATCCATTTAAAATTGACCACAGTGAGTTTTTATACTTTGAAAACACGGTGTGATAACTTCATTTTCAATGTCATTAAAAATGTATTTTTTTTATTTAAGTNATCTTTATTTTCAATGTCATTAAAAATGTATTTTTTTTATTTAAGTGATTAATATATCTATCATTCATTGATCACTCATTCGATCCTGGTTTAGGATGAACGCTGACAGTCTATCTATGTAGGAATTAAAATGACAAAATATTTTAGGGATCAAATTGACAAAATTGATACATTGAACACTAAACTAACAAAAGATGCATACTTTAGAGACTAAAAGTGCTATTAACTTTTTTTTTCTTTGCTCCTCATTTTATTATGAGTTAGGCTAAAAGAGAGGTACAAAACATGAGAAGATCCGTGAGGGCTTCCTCTCTCGAGAATCACGGTCACAATTGGTAATATAACACCATAGTCACAGGTAAGTAAACTAGTGGATATATAATATCTTTCTTACTCTTAACTTTTTTTGAGCTAGATCACCGTTTAATAGGACATGTAACTATTTTTGGGCAAGGTCAAAGTCGGATGTTTTGCATGACCCTAGTTCAATAGAACTAAAAAATTACAAAATTATTTAATATACAAATTTTAGAAATTTTAAAGAATGTTATATTTTATTGAAATATATAACTATGTTAAAATGTATTAAAAAATTTATTTTGTCTTTTTTTTCAAATTTTATTTTGGCGAAATAAAAACTGAATTTACTATTTCACAATGATTTTACCTTGAATCTTATTTTGTTATCATTCTTGAACTCAATTTTGTTGTATTAACAAGTGAATTATTATTAGTCCCATTTTACACCCTCATAAATAGTCCGGGCTCCACCCTGGTTTAGGTGTTGTTACATTTGTCAAACAATTTTTGATGAAAAAATTGAGGTGCAATCCAAGGTCGGCCCAATAATAAGGTAAATATAGCTTAGCCTTTTAGGCTCCATTTGTTCAGAGAACACAATAATTTTGGGTACATAGTTAGTACATATTAAAAATTTAAATTCCAAAGAATTTTAAGCCCTACGAAAAGGCTCCATAAAAATTTAAGCCCAATCAAAAAAGTTTAATTTTAATAATTTGAACCCATAATCCAACTTGTAAAATTTAAAAATAAAACAAAATCAAATTTTTTTAAAAAAACAAATCTACTCAAAGGTAAACTCATAATTTACCCCACCCTCTCTCTCTCTCTCTCTCTCAATTTCAAATATACTAAAATATATTTAATTTTTTATTTAACTAAAAAAATTAAAATTATTAAACAATGATAGTTTAAAAAAGTATAGTCTGGATATTGAATGTTTCTGATTTATTTTTAAAACTAAATGTTCTAAAAGAAATTTCATAAATAAAAGAAAATACTTCAATTGAGATTTTAAATTATATAAAAGGCTGAATTCATTTTAAAATGCATGCATTACTTAAGTAATATTATTAACATTCCTGTAATAGTTGGTTCTACAAAAAAATGTTTTCCAATATTAAAGTTGATAAAAACTTACTTAGGATTGATTATGTCATAAGAAAAATTAACTGGAATAACAATATTATCAATTGGCAAAAAACTACAGTAGCAAAATTTGAATACAAANAGTTATGAAATGATGGAATATATTGTTGTCGATAAAATCATATTAGTTTTATTGTTGAACAACTCATATTTGAAAGATGAAAACCTCAAATTTATTCGTACGAACAATTCTTCACATATACTTTTCTTCATCCTTTTCCTTGAATTTTATCTCAATTCATTTTGTACTATTTACCCATGTTCTATACAATTTTGCGTTCGAATTCTATCGGGTACTACAATTAAACCTTGATAGTGATATATCACATCATTGCATATATTTTGGTATCTTCAATAAACTAACACTATTAAGTGTGATATTACTTAGTTAGGCATAATTCGTGCATGAAAGTATGATTAAATATAAAATTTGAGTGTCCAAAAAATTAATCTCACTATATTAAATAATAATTTTTTTCCCTTCATTTCTTTGATTAAATCATTTAAAATTTATTTTTATCCATTATTTTCTTAAAAATATCGATAAAATTTTCTCAAAATATATTATTCGATAAGATTTTCTCAACATGTGTATACTATTGTGTATGAATAATATCTGAAATAAAAATTATGCTAAACTATAAATTAATCAAATATTAAATGATTGAAGATGTGGTAGAAATATGTGATGTGATAATTTTTGGGAAAAAAAAATATGTAAGAGATAAAAATTCAAGTTGTTAGGTGTTTTATTATACAGATTGGATATAGATTTAAATTTGTCCAACCAAATTAAACAATGACAATCATTATCTTAAGTAATATTTTACATTATAATACTTTTGGCTTAATAATTTAAAGCTATGATACCAATTGGACATGAAGCTAAAAAGAAAGAGTAGGTATATTGATTAGTTTGCTTACTATTCATGCAAAGATTTTAAGGTGTGATTGATATATTGATTGTTCTCTTTACTATTTATTACGTAAGTCGACTAAGACACCCATGAGCATCGAATGAAAAAAGAAAAAAATATTTTCAAAGTGGTTGACTAACTGGTATACTCCATTATTAACGAGTTCTTGCCACAAGACGGAAACAAACACAATTGTCGGCAAGATAATTATTGTGTATCAAAGGATAGTTGATGTACTCAATTTGTTTGCTTAACTATTCATAAAAACTGTAACAAGTCATTTGAAATTTTTTTGTTTTTGGTCTGCTACCTATTCATTTGAAAACTTTTTTGGAGTAATTGCTATATTGTATTATTTGCTATCAATTCATGTGAAATTTTAAAATAGTATTCTGTTTTGTATAATTTATTGTAGTAATAGTGTTTCTGGAAGTTTGATATAACTTAGGATCTATGAACCACGGATACTTCGTTAGAATGAGCATATTCATATTGGATACTTTATCAGATACGATACTTGTTGGATACTCGATGATACGTCTCTTATGTATCCGATAATAATTAAATATTAACATACTTCACGGATACTTTTGTGTTCAAACAATATATATAATTTTTGAGTTGAATTTTTAACATTTCCTTTCGAATTCACATACTATACAATACATTTACAAAAATTCATAAGAGTATTTTTTTTAAGTATTATCTACAATTACATGTCAAAAGAGTGTAAAATAAATCTATTACATTATAGTTTTAACAAAAATCACTTCTAAATAAACCGACTAAGTAATTGTTAGCGTTGATTCCTTTAATTAATCACTTACTTTGTGAATATACCATAGTGATACAATATATATTTTCTTCAAACTAAAAAGAATTACAAATTTTCTTTATTGTGTTAAATAACCACTAAAATGTATAAGTATTATGCTGATTGAAAATAATAAAATTTTAAATATATTTTATTATAGTCGTATCTTGATTGTACTCATATTCTTATTTTTTAAATTTTATTGTATCGTTATATCTGTATCGTATCATACCTGTATGCCTTATCCTTATTTGTGTTTCATAGCTTAGGATTCTAAAAGTGGTTAGGTGAAAAATAAGTTAAAAATTATTTGAGGTCAAAACTAATAATTGTGTGATATATTATGTAGCTTGTGCATTCCGACAATCTTGAAATTTCTCTCCAAATTGCATTTACAATTGGTCTAGAAAGTTCATTTATCAATATCTATCTTGACTATGAAAAGTCTACAACTTAAAAAACTTTTGATTATTAAAAATATCCGCAATAATCGAAGGGGCTTCAAAGTCTATCTTCGGTTGCGACTGTGTACTTCTTTCATGTTATTCTGGCGGGACTCCTATATAGATCCTGAACCCCAGGGTGACACGTGGCCCAATAAAGTCATTAAGATGTCTGGAAGATGCCGAAGGGGTGAGCCGAGGCATGGCGACACAGAGCGGCCGAGTACAACAGCTGACATCATAATCAAAATGATGTGACCTCGCATTTATGACGAAATGAGTGATGGTGACAGGACAAATAAATGCGAGGCTGCTGTCAACTGCTCTCTATAAGTCTATGCCTATTGACATGATGACTGGAGCATTAATGACTGATGCGCCGAAACAACGCGATTGGTTCTCCTGAGTTTCTTGATTCGCCGAGTTATCCATGCTCTGTCAGTGTCAGACGCTAACCTCTTGTATTGGGCTGCTCGACTTGTAGTATAAATGCTCGGCTTGTGGTCGAGCATTTACACCATTCCCCTAGCATTCAATTGGAGGAGGCGTAAAGGGGAAGCATTCACAACACAAGGGATGGTGTGTCAGATGTGAGATGTCCAGATGGGACTGAAGATTTAGAGTAATCATTGCTAATTCAGGTATAAATATCCCTCAGAAAAATGGACAAAGGTACGCAAAATCAAACCAGAGCACATCTACTAAGAAACAACCCTTCGATCTTACTTACTTAAGTTTCGGAGGGGATCCGCGCGGGCTCATGCCTAGCCCTCTTTCTTCTAACCCCGTCTTTTCAGGTTCGCCAATCAAGGGATCGCTACCTTACAAGATTGCAGGAATTATCTCTTGCAACTTGGCGCCGTCTGTGGGAATCGAAAGCATTGCTAAGTTTTTCGGTGGCAATCATTTGATGGT